ACCTAAGGGGTGTAACTCTACACTGAATTGCAGCACCAATACTGAGGACCTATTCCAACTTGGAATCCCCACAGTGTCGGTTCATAGGTATTTGAAAATGCCCACAGCATCCAAGCAACACTATAATACATGTCTATCATCATATTCCAGGAATGATTTTAAAGTCACCAAACCACAATTTTATTACTTCAAAATAATGGTACTGAGATCTTTAAACCTGTAAAAAAGTATCGTCTCTTACCATTAAATGATTCCGTGAGTTCCTTTATCATGTCCTCAGCCTGTGTGCGAGCATCAGCACTCCCCGTCACGACCACAAGAACCTTCCCGCCTTCAGTCTCATTTCTGTTCACCTGAATATTTCACAGCAATTGTAGTGAGTTTGGTTTAACACCACTTTGAATAGTATTTCAGTGATATTGTCAGCTTGATGTGGGAGGAAATCTGGAAGTGATGTGGTTCTTAGATGCTTACCACTTCTGAGGGGAGTAACTCTTTCACATATTTTGACAAGAAATCTTGTCTGGCTTGTGCTACGTTAACCCTCTTACTGCCAAATGTATTTGAGAAATAAACAACGAAGGGGAGAATGAAGAATAAACCATGAGCAGCACTAAGGGGAACAACTCACTACCCTCTAAAAAATAGCAACATCCAATTCATGAGGTTGACAATGTTCAAATCTCGAGAAATGACATCATGATAGCACTATGGTTTATTGTGAAATAAACCATACCTCGATCTTCATTGTTCTTTGTGATCTATCCTAGCTCTCCTATATATCTGCATAAAAAGAGTCACAAAATAATACCTTGATGTTTGCTCCACTTTCATCTTGAAGTTCACGAATTTTGGATCCACCTTTACCTATAACAGGGATAGAGATGGGTGAGATTGTGTTTGTTGTTTTACTCACAGTCAGCAGAATTCAACCTGCATCAGTGTGGCCATCTTCCCGGGCAAGGGTGTTAACTGACTCCATATCACATATCCCTTGCATTTGCTTCAAACAAAATGGTGGCCGTCAGTCAAGACGATCTCCTCGATAATCAAGATCTATATTGTAACAAAAAAGGCCCTACCCAGCGAAGTGCATCAATTCACTCGAGCACCTTGATTAAAAAACATGAAAAGATTTGAAAAATAGCTGTTGATGCCCAGTTGACGATACACATGCTTTGCAAATCCTGCAGTCGACCGAAATCTGCACGTTGAAATCAATGTTGTTTGCTAGTTTGATACACGATTACACGATTCTGATTAGGACTATGCATAGACTCGTTCATCCAGCCAAAATGTAACACCATTATTCCAGCCCATCTCGGCAAGAGTGGAAACTGGACTTTTATAGTCAGTTTACTCCCTTGCCTCGGGAAGATATGTATTTGTATTCAAGAACCTCAATATTTTTTATATTTTACACAAATACGCAGTTTATCTGTAGCTGTGGTATGATGACTCTCATTGAGATGGCCCACAGAGTCTGACCACCCAACTCAGGAAATAAGGCAGCCTGCAAATAATCAAGTCTGGATCAGACAAACCAGTGATTGATGTCCTGAGTAAGTTGTTTTTTATGTCGCTTTAAACAGTATTCCAGCTTAATGTGGGAGGAGAGCCCAAAGTAATGCAGATCTCAGACGTTTACCACTTGCGTGAAACCCACAAGCATGGGTATTGTGTTGACCAACCAAGAAACATAATTGGGCTGACCGGGATTCGAACCCATGATCATAGATTTCTAGCGTACCTAAAGGGATGCAACTCTACACAGTGAATCACTGGTGTCCTCCGATTAGCGCCATGAACATCGATCCACGCAGCCAGGGTACGATGACACCCTATTAACCAAGTCACCAAGCATAACCATCAGTACCATTGGGTCGCCTCGTATGATGAACATTGGTTTCGAGGCCCCTGTTCTAAACCACAATTCCCAAGGGGCCGGCTCCTTCCACAAGCATCAGGTACAGGGGGACCAATTCAGACTTGGAATTCACTGGGGCAGTATGTTTGTTGTTTAACGACGCACTCAGCAAGATTCCAGCCATATGACGGCGGTATGTAAAGAATCTTGTAGAATTTTCCTATTCGGAATATTCTATAAGTAATACGTTACCACTGTTATACCGAGGCTGTTGTCTCCCACAACTGCTGCTATAGCGAAATCTACCACAGAGATCTCAATTACCTCATGCAGCACGTGCGTAGCCACCTAGCTGCCATGTGACACCCTTCACTCTTGTCTCCTGCGAGAGCAAGTGCTCGGGGGACGGACGGGCGGGCAGCAGCCCAGTGGTAACGTATTACTTATAGAATATTCCGAATAGGAAAATTCTACAAATTACATTAAGTAATACGTTACCACTGTTATACCGAGGCTGACTACCACAGTAGGCGGTGGGGAGCACCTACAACCCGAATCCTGACTGCTAGCGTTCCTTCCGACCAGCGGAAGTAAACACCAAGGCGGAAGCACTCGATGCGCATGCACCTAGCTAGGCGTTACCCTATAGGAATACCAAAGCACTGTCAAGCGCATACCGTAAGGCTCAATCGTCATTGCCAAAACGATTGGTGACTCCAAACGGCCCCACTAGATAGGTATTTCATCGCCGCAGCGGATGAGAACACTGTATCCGCGTGAGCTTAATCTTAGATCAGGTTAAACAGTCGAAAAGAGGGAAATTAATTTCATTCAGACCGTATATCCCAGAGCAAGCCTACTTAAAGTATGCATTAGGCGCGTGACCTAATTCCAGTATTTGTAAGCATGCATCACAAGGTTGGGATACACGACAGACAATTAAAGACATAATTGTCAAAATACAAATAAGGACAAAGCACACAAAAAGCCGCCCTCACCTGTGGTGTGAGTGCACTGGTTTGCGGGACCCCAACTCCTGTACCCACGGCAGTGGGAACATTGGAGTAGACCCAGATTGACCACCGTGCAAGGTCAGACGCCTGAGGAGTTCGGAATTGCGCTGGGCACACCCCTTAGGTGCCCGCTTGCGCCGCGATCCGCGGGCCAAGACGGTGCACACTCTCCACGACGGCATCAGCGACCTGTTTGAGGTAATGATTGGCAAAAACCGAGTCAGAACGCCAGTAACAACCTCGTAATATTCTGCGAACAGAGATATTCGAGTGTAGGGCAAATGTTGCCGCTAGCGCCCTGATCTCGTGCGGGTTTGACCCCGCTACCGGTAACCCCCGAGACCGGTACGCCAGATTGATGACAGAACGAAGCCACAACGCAATCGAGTTGCGAGGTATGTCAACCGTGCGATTAGGGTTACACGATATGAACAGACGGTCACGCCCTTGTCTACGTTCATTCGAAGCCTTAAGATAATACTTAAGGGCCCTAACCGGACACAGCGCTCTGTCCTCAGTATCAGCAGGATGTAAGATTTCTTTGAGTGATCTTACAGTGAATTCTCTCTCCGTTTGCCCGACTCTCTGATTCTTGGCGACGAAGCCCATGAGCAGGCCCAGGCGGACCGCTCCTTCGTCACCCCTATCGAATCGTACCTTGGCGACATCGAGTGCATGAATTTCGGATACACGTGCCGCCGTGGCAAAGGAGAGGAGAAATGCTGTTTTCCAAGTCACATGCCGGAACGAAGCACTATGCAAGGGTTCATACGGAGCTTCCGTAAGTGATTGCAACACTAGGGAAAGATCCCAGGCCGGTGCCCGAAGGCGGCCCTTCTTAAGATCGTGCTGTTTGAAACCCTTGATAATACCCCGTATCACCGGCTCTTTGGAGAGACTGGTACCCATAGCAACGTCCCGTACCGTAGCAACGGACGAGACATAGTTGGCAATGGAACCCCCGGAGAGTTTCCGGGTCTCTCGCAAGTGAGACATGAAACGAGCAATATCCTGCACAGATACCTTATCTGGCGAATGAATGTGATGTTTACAACACCACTTCGTGAAAATAACCCAACGTGCATTATACACCTTCTGGGTAATCACGATGCATACTAACGTATGCCCGAGACGCCCGGCGAGAAAAAACTTTACTCCTCAGACGCTCGGTGACAACATCCACGCGTGCAGATTGAACTGCCCTGCGTTTGGATGAAGCTGACAGGTGTGAGGGTGGATCAAGAGATCCGGTCTCACAGGCAGTGGAAGTGGCGACTGCGTGACCTGGGTCAGCAAGTCGGGGTACCACGATCTGTTCGGCCACATGGGCGCGATCAGTAACATTCGACAGCGAACTCCTCGGAGCCGGCTTAGAATGTGTGGTATCAACGCTGTCGGCGGGTAAGCATAAGCGACCAAGCCCGTCCAGTCTAACGCGAGAGCATCGTGATCGATGGCCCTCGGGACCGGGACTGGTGATACAAACAACGGGAGTTGATTGTTGAACCGCGTTGCGAACAGGTCGACCATCGGACGACCCAAACGTTCGCACAGCCACTGAAACACTACTGGGTTCAGCATCCACTCTGTGGGGCTCGGATCCTGAGGCCTCGATAGAGCATCGGCCAGTACGTTCCGCACACCTGGGATGTGACGGGCGCGTATCTGGCACGGGACACTGTCCACCAGAGCGTAAAACTCGAACGTGAGATCGAGTAGCGAGTGACTGTGGGTTCCCCCCAGTTTGTTCACATAGGACACTACCGTCGTGTTGTCGGTCGCCAGTATGAGCCGGGCGTCGACGAGACGATGCTTCCAGTGATTGACTGCGTTGATCACTGCCTTGAACTCGAGACAAGTGATGTGAAGACCTAGTTCGTCTAAGCACCACAGCCCCGAGCTCACCTCCCCCTTTAGATGGGCGCCCCAGCCCACTAGAGAGGCGTCTGTATACAGGGTCAACGTGGCCCGGTAGGGCCGCATAGAGACTCCTGATAAGACAATGTAAGGGACCGTCCACCACTCCAGATGCGGTCGGAGCCGATCCGGGAGGGCGACGGTCGCACTGTTCACCTCCGTTGCTAACAACTGGATTAAAAACCGTTGCAGCGGGCGGAGTTGGAGACGACCCCGTGCGGTGCAGTCCTGGGCTGATACAAGTAGCCCTAACAGCTGTTCCCAAAAGTGAACAGTCTGTTGCACCGCTAAGACTTTGGCAATCATCGCCTGAATTTTGTGCCACCGGTCTGGGGGGACAAAGAGGCGATGGGACACCGTGTTGAACCGACCTCCGATGAACAGCAAGTTCTGAGAAGGGGTTAACTCGCTCTTGGGGAGATTGATAATCCACCCAAATTGCTCCAAGAGCCGACGTGCGAAATCGAGATGGCGTGACAGGGTGTCCGTCATTCGATTTGCTACTAGCGAGTCGTCCAGGTACGCGAAGTACCGGACACCCCTCCTGTGGAGGAACCCCACTATGGGGGTGGTTAACCGGGTGAACAGCCAGGGAGCGGACGTGTGAATCATTCTGAGTTCGGCACTGTCCTACTTGGGAACGAGAAATATCCTGGAGTAAAACCCCGGTGTTATTTCTGGTAGAGCTAACTCCCGTACTGCCCCTTCTCCACCAACCTGCCGATGGCATCGGCGAGGATGGGAAGATTGGTTTCCGAATCGAAACCTGCCAACGGGGCAACGGTGAGCGGCGGATTCGCTTTGAGATCAAGCCGATAGCCGTACCGAATCGTGTTGACCACCCACGGGTCGTCGAACACTTGTTCCCAATTCTCCCAGTAAGTCTGGAGTCTGGCTCCCACTGGGGAAGGAGAGGGGGCCCTGACAGGTTGCGACAGGCGCAACTGTCCAGGGCCAAGTGACTCGGGTTCGCCTAAGGGCCAACCGAAGTTGGCGCTGTCGGCATACGAACCCCTCCAATGAGAGTCACCTGGAGGGGCCCTTGCCGTCCGTCGACGACTTGGGCTTCCCCCAGTTCCCCGTTTTCCCGCGAAAGGGCAGCTGATTGCCCATACCGGAGCCCTCAGGGCGGGGCTACTTCCCAGAGGAAGAAGAACCCGACCCCTTAGACCTACCGGCCGCAGCAGCCTGGGGCGCGCTCCGGTTAGGAGCGGCACCCAGGCGCCTATGCAGGGACCCAACAAGAGCAAGTGTGTGCCGAGAGTCCTCGGCAACGTACTCCAGGGAAGCATTTAAACTGAGCAGGCAGTTGTAAATGCGCTGGTCACGGTCCGTGGGAGAACCTTCGACCAGACGGGCCGCTGCAGCCAAGTAAGTGTCTCCGTGAGACATGGAGTGCCGAGCGAGGGCGTCCAGCTGGTGCAAGGTAGCTTGCGTTACCGTAGCAGCCGGTGGGGCACGGACACCCAACCGCTCAACATGGGCCTCCGCGGTAGGACCAGCCTCGGGAAAGGCAAGGTCATGTACCGGGAATAAACCCTTTCTCCACGACGTCGGAGGCAACGGGAGACCCCGACCGGAGGCCGCCGCGAAGGCGTTCTCCAAGGAAGGCTTGAAACCGCGCAGCAAGGTTGATGCGGGGAAAGCCGAGTCGGAAGACTCATCGTATACCTCGGAGGAACCCACAGTCGTGGATTCCCCGCGGTACCGGCCGGGGCATGTCCTCAAAGAGGTCATAAACCATGGCCACGCGGTCCTAAACCGATAGCGGGAGCAACGGTTCGGGGGAAGGACCGGTGACCACGGGAGCCGCCGCCGTACCGGTGGACCCCGCGTCCGACCCCGCGGCCACCGAAGTGGCCGGGGACGGAACAGCCAGCGGCCTATCCTGAGATAAGGCCGCCAGCTTGGAGTCCACAAGTTATGCAAGTAATGCAGCGACGGAATCCCCGGACAGCACACGGGCCGCCAAGAGATCCGCCGCTTTACCGGTGGACCCCGCGGCCACCGAAGAGGCCGGGGACGGAACAGCCAGCGGCCTATCTTGCGATAAGGCCGCCAGCATGGAATCCACAAGTTTCGACAACAATGCGGCGACGGAATCCCCAGACAGCCCGAGGGCCGCAAGGGGATCCGCTGCAGCCGAGGAGGTGGTACCCGCACGGGGACCCCGACCGGACGAACCGGCCACCACAGGGGTGGAGACGGACTGTACGTACAGCCGGTACCGCTCAAAATCCGCAGGCCCCAGACCTTCGCACAGGATGCACCGGGTGTCCCCGCAAGGAACCCTGCACCGCGGGCAACGAACGTGGGGATCCCGGGACGACAAAAACTTTCTGCACACCCCATAACTCCGAGGAGCAGGGGTAGAGGGGGTGGATACTGGGGACATATCCATGTCAGACATTGATTGTTTGCTATAAACAAAGAACAAAACATGGTTACAACGCACGCACCACAATGATTCACAAACGAACATTTTCACAAGAAAATAAACGAGCAATGTGAACATATAACATACACATATAACTTTTATTAAAGAAATAAGTTATGTTAACCCCCAAAACATACAAGAACAGGGGAAACGTAAAACACAACGTGCATACGCGAACCCCGCAAGTATATAGAAAAAAGGGCGGGAAAAATTTTCCGTTTGGCGGGAAAATTATAACCAAGCGTAGCTACCACAACGCCCCATAAAAGCACAGTTTATTAGAGAATAAACTATAATAAATATCACCAAATCTTCAAGGAACGCTTCAGCAGGAGAAAACACGTCTTGCTAAGCAGACGAAGGAGACAAGAGTGAAGGGTGTCACATGGCAGCTAGGTGGCTACGCACGTGCTGCATGAGGTAATTGAGATCTCTGTGGTAGATTTCGCTATAGCAGCAGTTGTGGGAGACAACAGCCTCGGTATAACAGTGGTAACGTATTACTTAATGTAATAAGTCTGGACTAGACAATCAAGTGATTGATGTCATGAGCATTGATTCACACAGTTGGGATACGATCACATGCATCAACCAAGTCAGCAAGGTTGACCTATTAGTTGCCTCTTACGACAAGCATTGTAGCCTCTTACGGCAAGCATGGGTTGCTAGAGACCTATTCTAACCCACATCTTCACAGGGTCACTGGGGCAGTAAGACAGTGAACGAGTTTACCTGTGTTTCACTTATACCACAATTTCCATCATTGCAACTACACATACGCTACATATAAGACACTCAAGGACCAAACTGTACCAATAATTCTTCCAACACAGCTCGGGTCCACATAAATGTCGGTTGTTTCCGAGCTTGAGCCCAATGTCTCCTCTCCATTCCCTGAAAGAACATCATTAATATTTAAAAGTACATAAATGGTATTGATGCAGTCTGCGCCAACAAGTTTAACACTACAGATGTTATCATAAATTTTAGTAGAATTTCGGGTTATCATATGGGTTATTATTAGCTGAGCTTACTAGGCTAACAGGATTTTACTTGACTTGGGCTTTGGATAAGCGGCTAAAGTCACAGACTGCCGATGACACCACAGGGGGACTGTACATGTATTTAAACTGTTCCAGTAAAAGTTTCACTCACCTACAGAATCTGCGTTTCCATCATTGAAATCCCAGTCTGATGATCGTCCGCCACCTCCTCCTCCTCTGTACCCTGAGGAGTCTGAAAATATCCCAGTGTAATTAAAAGGTGAATATAATACTGAAAGATGGTTCTGAATCACTCCAGTGTAAGAAGAACACTTCAAGTAGGCTATATAATACCTAGAGTGCGTACAGAAGGCTGTGAGAGAGAGAGAGAGAGAGAGAGAGAGAGACACAGAGAGAGAGACAGAGAGAGAGAGAGAGAGAGAGAGAGAGAGAGAGACAAAGGGTGATACTCAATTTCCACTAGTCTCCATATACAACACCAAGGAATACACTGTAATAGACCAAGTTTAACTCACCATTAAATGATTCTGTGTATTCCAACCTGGAATCCCCACAGGGTCAGTTCATAGGTATTTGAAAATGCCCACAGCATCCAAGCAACACTATAATACATGTCTATCATATTCCAGGAATGATTTTAAAGTTGTCACCAAACCACAATTTTATTACTTCAAAATAATGGTACTGTGATCTTTGAACCTGTAAAACAGTATCGTCTCTTACCATTAAATGATTCCGTGAGTTCCTTTATCATGTCCTCAGCCTGTGTGCGAGCATCAGCACTCCCCGTCACGACCACGAGAACCTTCCCACCTTCAGTCTCATTTCTGTTCACCTGAATATTTCACAGCAATTGCTCAAGCTGAGTTGTTGTGAGTTTGGTTTAACACCACTTTGAATAGTATTTCACTGATATTGTCAGCTTGATGTGGGAGGAATTCCGGAAGTGATTTGGTTCTTAGATGCTTACCACTTTTGAGGGGAGTAACTCTTTCACATATTTTGACAAGAAATCTTGTCTGGCTTGTGCTACGTTAACCCTCTTACTGCCAAATGTATTTGAGAAATAAACAACGAAGGGGAGAATGGAGAATAAACCATGAGCAGCACTAAGGGGAACAACTCACTACCTTCTAAAAAATAGCAACATCCAATTCATGAGGTCGACAATGTTCAAATCTCGAGAAATGACATCATGATAGCACAATGGTTTATTGTGAAATAAACCATACCTCCATCTTCATTGTTCTTTGTGATCTATCCTAGCTATCCTATATATCTGCATAAAAAGAGTCACAAAATAATACCTTGATGTTTGCTCCACTTTCATCTTGAAGTTCACGAATTTTGGATCCACCTTTACCTATAACAGGGATGAAGTTGGGTGAGATTGTGTTTGTTGTTACTCACAGTCAGCAGAATTCAACCTGCATCAGTGTGGCCATCTTCCCGGGCAAGGGTGTTAACTGACTCCATGTCACATATCCCTTGCATTTGCTTCAAACAAAATGGTGGCGGTCAGTTAAGACGATCTCCTCGATAATCAAGATCTATATTGTAACAAAACAGGCCCTACCCCACGAAGTGCATCAATTCACTTGAGCACCTTGATAAAAAACATGAAAAGATTTGAAAAATATCTGTTGATGCCCAGTTGACGGTACACATGCTTTGCAAATCCTGCAGTCGACCGAAATCTGCACGTTGAAATCCATGTTGTTTGCTAGTTTGTTACACGATTACACGATTTTGATTAGGACTATGCATAGACTCGTTCGTCCAGCCAAAATGTCACTCCATTATTCCAGCCCATCTCGGCAAGAGTGGAAACTGGACTTTTATAGTCAGTTTACTACCTTGCCTCTGGAAGATATGTATTTGTATTCAAGAACCTCAATATTTTTTATATTTTACGCAAATACGCAGTTTATCTGTAGCTGTTGTATGATGACTCTCATTGAGATGGCCCACAGAGTCTGACCACCCAACTCAGGAAATAAGGCAGCCTGCAAATAATCAAGTCTGGATCAGACAAACCAGTGATTGATGTCTTGAGTAAGTTGTTTTTTATGTCGCTTTAAACAGTATTCCAGCTTAATGTGGGAGGAGAGCCCAAAGTAATGCAGATCTCAGACGTTTACCACTTCCGTGAAACCCACAAGCATGGGTATTGTGTTGACCAACCAAGAAACATAATTGGGCTGACCGGGATTCGAACCCATGATCATAGATTTCTAGCGTACCTAAAGGGATGCAACTCTACACAGTGAATCACTGGTGTCCTCCTATTAGCGCCATGAACATCGATCCACGCAGCCAGGGTACGATGACACCCTATTAACCAAGTCACCGAGCATAACCATCAGTACCATTGGGTCGCCTCGTATGATGAACATTGGTTCCGGGCCCCTGTTCTAAACCACAATTCCCAAGGGGCCGGCTCCTTCCACAAGCATCAGGTAGGGGGGACCAAATCAGACCTGGAATTCACTGGGGCAGTTTGTTTGTTGTTTAACGCCGCACTCAGCAAGATTCCAGCCATATGACGGCGGTATGTAAAGAATCAAGTCTGGACTAGACAATCAAGTGATTGATGTCATGAGCATTGATTCACGCAGTTGGGATACGATCACATGCATCAACCAAGTCAGCAAGGTTGACCTATTAGTTGCCTCTTATGACAAGCATTGTAGCCTCTTACGGCAAGCATGGGTTGCTGGAGACCTATTCTAACCCACATCTTCACAGGGTCACTGGGGCAGTAAGACAGTGAACGAGTTTACCTGTGTTTCACTTATACCACAATTTCCATCACTGCAACTACACATACGCTACATATAAGACACTCAAGGACCAAACTGTACCAATAATTCTTCCAACACAGCTCGGGTCCACATAAATGTCGGTTGTTTCCGAGCTTGAGCCAAATGTCTCCTCTCCATTCCCTGAAAGAACATCATTAATATTTAAAAGTACATAAATGAGGAGAAGACAAAAAAATGGTGAACATGAGAAGCTAAAATGAAAATAAAACATTTTTCATTATTTTCTCTCAATAAGAAGGAACTTATAAGCAAAAGAAAGTGAACTTTTCTGTCAAAAATGCAAACAATCTTGCCAGTCAATGAACTAATAGTGCAACTAGTTTTTTCATCAGACTAAAAATGATTTTGATTGACCCAAATGATATTCCTTCATGTGGCATGTCCCAAATGTCATGCATGACAATTTTTATTACCATCTGTAAAAATTGATACACTTCGAGAGTTACCTGTCTGACCTGCTGAAGACCCCCAAGTGTCCTCGCTGCTGCGTCCCCAACCTGATCGTCCACCACCTCCTCGGTTGTTCCCAGCGGACAGACCTGTAGAACATGTTGACTTGTTTGTTTGTTGCTTAACGTCATTCTTAGATATTTATCACTTTGGTGAAACCCATGAGCAGGGGTATGGTGATGACAAACCTAGAAACACAATCAGAGTGAATCTGGGATACAAGCCCTAGATCACAGGTTCCTGGCACACCTAAGGGGTGTAACTCTACACTGAATTGCAGCACCAATACTGTGGACCTATTCCAACCTGGAATCCCCACAGGGTCAGTTCATAGGTATTTGAAAATGCCCACAGCATCCAAGCAACACTATAATACATGTCTATCATCATATTCCAGGAATGATTTTAAAGTTGTCACCAAACCACAATTTTATTACTTCAAAATAATGGTACTGAGATCTTTAAACCTGTAAAACAGTATCGTCTCTTACCATTAAATGATTCCGTGAGTTCCTTTATCATGTCCTCAGCCTGTGTGCGAGCATCAGCACTCCCCTTCACAACCACGAGAACCTTCCCACCTTCTGTCTCATTTCTGTTCACCTGAATTCAACAAACTTAAGGCTGCCAAACACACCAGGCTTTATGCATAACAAGATGTTTAAAAAAGAAGGAAAAAGAGAAGAAAGGATTTCAATATGTTGTTGCAATTACTTTAATTCACAAGTATACCTCAAAGCTAACAGTTTTGTTTTTGTTTGTTTGTTGTTTAACACTGCACTCAGTAATATTCCATCTATATGATGGCGGTTTGTAAATACTGTAGTCTGGACCAGACAATCTAGTGATTGACATCATGAGCATCGATCCACGCAATTGGGATACGATGACATGAATCAACCAGGTCAGCTAGACTGACCACCTGATCCCATTAGTCGTCTCTTACGACAAGCATAGTCGCCTTTTACGGCAAGCATGGGTTGCTGAAGACCTATTCTACCCTGGATCAAAGATAACAAACATTCCACTAGTACAAGCAACATCCTGTCCCATATATGTGTCCAGGAGCAGAAAATTTACATATTTCATAACTGTCTGCCTCTGTTATCAGCTCCAAGAACATTGAGCTGATACTAAACATGCGTAGGTTTTACCAGAGTCTTGTATTCATATCTAACAGTATGACTGCTTTGTACAAAATAAACATGTCATATATACATGTTTGAATCAGCAATTGAAATTGAATTGAAACAGTTGGACAACTGAAAAGACATTAAGTGAGTTTTCAAACTCCAATACCTTGATGTTTGCTCCACTTGAGTCTTGCAACTCTCGTATTTTCGAACCACCTCTACCTGGGTTGAGCAAAAAATAAGGTTGGAGAATATACATGTACAGTGATCCCTTGCTACAACGCTACCTTTGGGGTCCAAATATTTAATGAGCATTATAGACGATCAGCGGTTTAACCAAAGTGGAATCTTTTTAAAGCCGGATGTGATAAGAATTGGATTAAATTGCGGACTTCAGTTCGGATTTGTTGACTGGTATTTCCTGAGTTATGTGATCAGCTGATAATGTTTTTTTGTTTAGATGGGGAAAACATTGTGTCATTGGAAAACTAGAGTTTATTAAAAATGTAAGTAAATTTGAGAAGCCATGCTCTACCGTGCGCTGTAACCGAGTTAGCGCTATATTGAAGAGCGCAATTGCGAGGGAACACGTACTGGAAGTCATATCTTTAAGGTGAAAGGAATTTGTATCAAGTTAATAGAGGAAGACACAAAACTTTGAAGTAAGCAAGTAAAGGTGTCAGTGTCACAGACTTTGGAGCCGAGTCTCACTTTTTTTCAGGCCTACTGGTAAAGTCTTATGTTTTAGGTGAGGTAAGGTGAAATTGGGTTTAACATCGCGTCCAAGATTGTTGCACTTATATAGCGACGTGCATGCAAGTGTGTGTGTGTGGCTGCTTGTACTTGTCCAGACTGATCCCGATTTATAGTGCTAGCACACTGAGATACCATGCCACAGTTCAACATGAATACCCCACTCAGACACAGTATACCCCACTCAGACACAGTATACTGACTCCGAGCCGACCAGTCCTTGTTTTAGCCCCTTAAAGCCAAGCACCAGGCAGGGTAACAACAAGTACCATCTTTTAACGTCTTTTGGTATGACGCGGCCGGGGATCTAACCCCGGACCTTCTGCTCTCCGGGCGGACGCTCTACCACTAGCATCTTCCCAAGACAAGTGAGTTAACTGACTATAAAAGTCCAGTTTCTACCCTTGCCGAACTAGGCTGGTATTATGGAGTTACATTTTGGCTGTGCTAATGAGTCTATGCATAGTCCAATCAAAATCGCACAACGAAATTGAAATTCGGTTCATAAACTGTCGTGCTGATTTCGATCGATTGCAGGATTTGCAAAGCATGTGCACCGCCAACTCGTTGTTAACAGATATTTTCCAAATCTTTTCATGATTTTAATGAAGGTGCTCATGAGATTTAATGCAATGTGCGATGTAAGACCCGTTTTAACACAAAATAGATCTTGATTATCGATCAGATCATCTTGACTGGGCACCGCCATTTAGTTTGAATCAAATGCAAGTGAAACAAGAGGTGGAATCTGATTGGTCAATGGGAGAGGTTTAGAAGGGACATAATTCGTAATAACCACTGGTGGCGCTACGATCGAGCCCAGGAATTCAAGCCTAGTTCGGCAAGGGTGGAAACTGGACTTTTAAAGTCAGTTAACTCTCTTGCCTCGGGAAGATGTACCACTAGACCACAGTCTGTCTTATGTTTTAGGACTGAGGTGAGGATGTTGTACACTGTCTTCAGGTACATCAATTAAAGCACAGGGACAGGTTAATTGCATGATCCATCAATATATTATTATCTTATGAATGTATCTTTAGCACAAACCTGTGCGTTGGGTGCTCTTTTGTATCAAACCAGTTAATTTGAAGTGTAGACAAACATTAGGGGAACTCATTTACAAGCATGCCAACATCAAAACAAACGTAAGTGATACTGATAAATCAGGAACAATAATCTTAAGTTTGACCAAGTCCAAGAATTTTATTAAAGGGCACATGTGCCTTATCATAATCAGCTGATTATGGACTCTCTATCGAAATTTATGTTGGTGAAGAGACTTTTTATTTTTCCCGTTATCAATAATCATAAAAGAGTTAAAACTTGTTTGGAAGAAACTAACAGGATAAGAAGATAAAACCCTCTTACCAATGATTCTTCCAACACAATTTTCCTCCACATACATTTTAGTTGTATCATTCTCAGAGCTTGACACCCCGTCCGAATTCTGAGAACGCCAGTTGGAAGAATCTGACCTGTTTCTGTTGTCATCAAATCCCCCGTCCCTTCTGAAACCCCCTCCGAAGCCCCTTCCCCTGCCTCCTCTTCTGCCCCGTTGGCCAAAATCCATTTTCCCGCGACGTATGAACAGTGGCAAGATATTCACGTGGTTTCCAACTGTCAAACTTCGTTTGAAACAAGTTGAGATCTAAAATGTGATATACTTATGCGTTCTGCTACATCATGTCACTTATATCATAAAATACATGCAGTGGCATGGAAAGAAACAGTTAATATATTAAGATACCGAAACTGAAAGTTCCATTCCATCTTTCATGCCCGCAAGGAACATAGTGAACTCCATGCAGTGTCTCGGTGATCGGAGTTTGAAGGTGCGTCTTCGATTAGAACAACCTACCATCTTTACTATCAATACAAGACAAACACTGTCGGGTTCTTATTGCAACTACTATGCACAATAAACTTAATTTCACTGAAATGAGAATACAAATGTTGCATTTAAAGAAAACCAGCTGCCATAGATGGGTTTATGATTATATAATATTATTTGCTAAGGTTTCTGCCGTCCATTATTAAACCGACTTTCAGCTGAGTAGAGGATCTATCTATCTATCTATCTATCTATCTATCTATCTATCTAATTTTTTTCTTGGTTCATATATATGTTTGACCTACCACCATAGTTCACTGCATATGTAATAATTAAGCTAAATCGTGTTGGGTGAATGGAGAAACCAAACCGTATATGTTGATATAATTTGCTGAGGTGCCGTTTTATATGGGCGGCAAAACACGAGGTGGGAATATTTTAGCCTGCACCCGGTAGAAACTACAAAACTGAGAATATCATGTGTTCGTGTCAAATACTGCTAAGGTTATAAGCAATTATTGGCTTTTGTCTATTTCCTTCTGTAAACCTATTCAGATACACACACGTATGTCATATGTCATGATATATCATTAAAATCGCAGTCAATAATTTTTTTAAATATGACTCTAAATTTTAAGCATGGCGTCATGTTTCAATTGTAATTCAGGTAGACAGGTACATTACCTAGATAAGATATCAATTTTAAGGGTTTTCAGGTCATTAAGTAATTGCTTTTAATCTTTCAAAAAACATTGGATAACACATGTACGGTGTTATGTACAGTAGACATACTTTCTTTAATAATACACTGTCTACCACACAGACATACTGTATACGGTCGATAGTCCATGGAGTCATGGAAACAATGATAGATTTATATATTCCTGTGGATTCTACGTTCTCGTGCGAAGATTCATAAAAAGTCTATTTCAGTGTATTTTATTAAAGGACTAACTGTTACCATGTTCATGTGTAAAGTTGTGCTTCTACAGTTGTTTTTAACAGAGACACAATTTTTTTAAGTCGCAGCTGATCAAATCTCAGACTGTAATGGTCCAATCGAATAGAGCATAGCCATCAAAGGTGAAGGTTGTCAAAGATGGCGGACTGTGAAAGTTCGAACTGGAATGTAGATATGGAAGTGAATTTATTTCACGCAATGAGGCGACATAAGCCAGCTGGTAGGTATATTTGCAAGCTGAGAGTATATCTGTGTCCTTAGACACGACTGAATGCCTATGGGTTTTCAGAAAGATCTTGGTTTTCGATTCTTTGTTTTGATCGTCAGGAGCCTTGAGATCCGGCCCGGGAAATGTAATCTAATACACTACCCAGTGTATAACATAAATATATTCTACACAACATGAACGGCTATTATTCCTACACAGTGTGTGATACTGTATACAACATGAACACAGTGTAACATAATGATATTGTATACAACATGAACGGCTATAACACTATACAGTGTATAACATAATGATATTGTATACAACATGAACGGCTATAACACTACACAGTGTAACATAATTATATTGTTTGCGACATGAATGGCTATAACACTACACGGTGTATTATTACATTTCATACAGTGCATCATAATAGAACCGAGTTTTACTGCCCCGCGGAAGCCTTTCTCAGCTCTTGAGTCGACGATAATGCATCGTCCGGGGTAGCTGTGGGTGTATCGATTCACCGAACACAGAAGCTTGAGGTCAAGTAGGATTTTGCATTTGATTCCTTTTCAGTGTCGTAAGGATAACAAGTCGACTTTCTCTTGAGCTGAGCACCCAGACTCCTTCGACCCTTATGCCACGGTGGTATTTCTGTTTCACAAACTTTGATTCATCATCCCACCATGGTTCCAAGGCTGCCGATCTTCTCGCTGTCAGCTTCGTTCACCGTCATGCAGACCTCCCTGCAGAACATGTTCCAATCCATTAGTGTGTGCTTGGAACTGACTCTGAGTTCCCGCTGTATGACGTGGCCTGGAGTCTTGTACATCCAATAGTACAAGTGCTTCATTTGCCAGGGTGAGGTGGGAGCAGGAAAAGCACTTCCCTCCCGAATCAAAACTTCCTGGCCACAGCTCTTCATCCGGCATCACCAAACAAGGCTGTTTTTTTTCCTGTGTCAATTGGCCACTACCACAACAGGGACAGGCTCCTGTGAAGTCACCTATAACCCTGTGGGTAGTAAGCCAGTCCACGAGAGTCATTGAACGTGATGCGAAAGACATCATCATAGACCCTAGTGTTGCTCGATTAGTTGGTCATGTTGATATAAACAATGGCGGGTGTGGCTTCAAGAAAAGATGAATGGGAGAGCGGAGCTTGATGTCACACGCATGCACAATTCATTGTTTACTTAATTGCGTATGCGCATTAAGGGGGTGCTAATGACCCGTTGGAGGGGTTATTACATGTGATAGCGCTCGTGGTCTTGTGGTAGAACGCCAGCTAATTGACACATTAATTAGCCAATCCGGTGAGTCGGCGAAGTGCGTTCAAGCCCCTGCAGCGCTAATATGATCTGAAAAAGTGCGCCTGATAAATTACACTACTCCCATTTAAACTATTTATTTTAAGTTTTATTTGTGGCCTTTGGGTTTGGTCAGTTGAATCCTCAAAATTTCTGCCAAAAGAAGTGCTGACATGGCAGATATTGTAGGAAATGCAGGTGCAAAATCAGCACCAACATTTAGTAGAGCGTTACGAAGATGTGAATCATAGATATGTAATAGCGTCCAGTGAATGTCAGAAAGTAAAGTGAAGCAGTAGCAATCTATGATTTAGCCATGTTAGCAGCTTCACTACATTTTCAAAAGACCAATTATTGCCAATCCCATGTTATAGGCTACACTTGATCTAGTCATCACGTGGCACATGCTGTTACATGATAGACATAGCTGGTTCCATTTCATGGTTTTGATTCTCTCTTCATAGAACAGAAATTGACTTTAACCTTTTTGCACTGATATAAGCGCATTTAGGTGTTTGAATGGAAGAAAAAATGATTGAGAGGTTGAATATGTTAATTGATCAGTGATCAGTGTTTAAGGATGAAGATGAGCATGGTAAGTAATTAAAAAAAAAATTGTTTGATGATACCACCTGCATGTTAGAGCTGAAACGATATCCCAGGACACCGATGCATCACGATTCACTCCATACGATACGGTGCGCGTTTATTGAGGTGCTGTATCTCGATTTTCCACGATACGTTTTTTTTAATAAACTTTTATCACAGATATGTTTTAAATGTGCTTTAACTCTTTCAACACCGTAGGCCGGTAAACCTGCCAAGAAGCATCGAGTTCCCAGACACCGTAGGCTGATTAACCAGCCAAGCCCTAGTAACGTCAAAATAGTATATAATTTTAAGAACCTACCTGTCATACCATTCATTTATTAAATCTATCACATTTCACAATGTTTGAAATACGTATTCCATTTCAATTTATCATTTTTCACGGATAGATTAAAAAATTATTCACTATTTCCTGCAATATTATTGAAAATAAAACTCTCGGACACACACTTCGACAACGGGTGCACATCGAACATGTCAAAGAGCAAAATAAAGACGTCTAAAGCAAATCTTTAAATATATTATACAAAGTTATAAATAAAGTATTTTTATAAACAATAGGATCAGACTTTCAATGGTGTATAACATGACTGTTCTGTTGGTTGCATTAATTGTTTTTAATTGTTTTTATTCCTTTATACATGAAAATGGCAAATCATTAGCTACAGGACATTGGTACATTTAGTATTTACTCCTACTATCTAGTCACAACTCACAAATATGTAGGACTGTTACTTTTGTGGTTGCTAGCCATTACATGGAAATGACAGATGATTCATTAAATTAAAATACTAATTACAGTACATATTTTATCATGTTTATGACTCATGGGCATTCATTCACTTTCATTTAATTTTTAATTATAATAAACTAAGTTTCATTCATTTATCTCTTGTCTTTTCTTGTCACTATGGGTATCGTAGCGTATCGAGATATGTATCGAATCGTGATGTAAGTATTGAGCTAAGTATCGTAATGTGACCTAGGTGTATCGTTGCAGCCCTACTGCATGTCAGTGGGTAAAACAAGGATGTGTGGATTGATGAATTTTCTTATGTCTGTATTTCAGGTGTAAATAGGTATTTCCAAATGATGTTCATCCACGATAAGCTGAACAACGCCAGTAGTCGGAAGATCTCCTCCAAGCACATCTGGAAACATCTTACAGAGATGTATGATTTACAGGCACTGGTCAGTACTTAAATTTTCAAGAAAAACATTTGGCGTGATAGAATATTGTTGAATCCTAATTCAGCAGCTTTGTAGCCAGTAAGATGAGACTTTAGTTGGAGGTTTCAAGCTATTCATGTTTACATCTGATTTTGAAATGTGTGATGGTTGAATAAAAGAGATTTCATGTCCACAAAACTGCCTTTGGGAGGTACATGGGGTCGTGGATGGAGCGTCTGCCCGGAGAGTGGAAGTTTGGTGGTTCATGATCCTGGCTGCTTCACAATCTCATTAAAATCAGATCTTAGCTCTTGCTACCGTTAAGCAACTAAACAAATATCCGAGGACATCACATTACAAGTGATTAACTTTAAGGGTCATGTCAAAGCAACCTTTTGCTAAATTTGAGCGACCATTGAAATGATCAACAAGAAGTCGACATTAGCCAATCAGAAAGTTAGATATGATAAGCGACTCTCTAATTGCTCGCATGAAAGGTTGTTCTGACATGACCCATAATAGAATGTGCCCAGGACTGAGGTCTTAGCTAAGCGATAGTGAGAACTAAAATCTGATTTCAATGAAATTGGGCTGCGTCATTACAAAAAGATGTTGAAAGATTTTATATTAGAGTTAACTGTATGGCCCATAGCATTAGGGGGATGCAAAAAGGACTGGCTGGCTCAGAGTAAGTGGGTGACCGTCTCTGTGATCTAGTGGATAGAGCTTCTGCTCAGACATTGAAAGTGCAATGGTGCAATCCCCTGGCTGCATCATACCAAAATCTTGTACTTGTTGTTACCCTGCCTTGTGCTTGTTGTTAGGGAATACAAGAAGGACTGGTCGCCACGGAGTCAGTATACCTTGTCTGAATTGGGTGTCTGTGTTAAAATGTGGCATGGCTCTCAGTGGGCTAGCACTATAAAACGGGCTAAGTTTGACTAGTACAAGCAGCCACAAACATTCCTGTCACTTTTTAAGTGAAATAACCTTGAACACATTAATCCCCATTTCACCTCGCCCTACCTCACCTCATCTCAAGACTTGACATCAGTTTTGGCTTATGCTCTCAGGGTTCACGCGAGCAGCTTTCTGACATGGGCCCTTTATCTGATAATTACACCCACACTTGCCCATACAGCACAATGTTAAGATGCCCCATTGTCTTTGAAAATGTGGGCCTTTTTTCAAATTTAGGGGCTAAAGACACACAATAAAAATAAGTGGAAATTGGGATATATTTTCTTTTCTCTCCAAATTTGAAGAAAATTGTGTCGGCAGATAAGTTATCCAACAAATAATAAAATAATAACTTAATGAATAACCATATATTTTTTAACTTATCCTCCACTTATGGAGAGTAGAGAGCAAATTTGAAATGGTGGATGGAACAACAATACGCCTGTAATCAGGTAATATTACAATCGAGCAAGAATACATTATAATATACGAATGATCAGGGTTCCCCCTAGACTCCAATATCTGAGTCACCTTGACTCAGCCTATGAATTTTTGTGAGTCAAAAATATTTTTTGTGAGTCAAATGTTTTATTGTATGATTAATGAAAAACTAGACGTAAATTTTAAGATGTTTGCATATATTGTCTTCAGATAATGTTTATAAATTAAGTTCAGGTGAGTAATTGTAATATTTTCATTCCAAAGCTGGTAAATAACCTGGATATTTTGAAATTTCGTCAGTCATGACGCAGTCATTTATTTCTGGACGTATTTTTCCTTAATTGAGAGTCATATACGCAAGAATTCTGCGTCAGGGGAAACCCTGGGAATGGGAAGACCATAAAAGGCACCGCTGGGTCCACCCATAACCAGAATACAATATGAGCAAACGATGGTGGAATAAACAAGCAAAGGATGCTAGAAACAATGAAGCATTATTCCACACTGGATACACGCCCGTTCGTGGAGCTGACAAAGCAGTAATGTGCTCTGATGTGACATCATCACTTCCGGGTCATATGCCGACTGTGCGAGGGTACTGGCAGACTAGTTGGAACAACTTTTCTTCAGCAGCTGGACCTCTCACAGTTAGTCTTTCTGTAAAGAAACCTCAGTGAATGCATTAAGGATTAATGCAGGAGTATACATTTCAAATGTAAAAGAATATTTAGATTTTACTAAATCTATACAAGAGTTGACAGAAAATGATGCCATGGATAAGTAGGCTAGTGGCCTCAACCTTTTTTGAGCACATATACAATTTCTTTATGAAACCCTATCTTTTTCACATCTTTTTCATTTTCTCTGTTTTGTTTTTTGGCAGAATGAGTCTGAAATCATTCCCTTCCCAAACAAGGAGGTAGAGTTCCTGCTGCCTGATGTAGACTACCAGTCTCTGATGGAGAAGCCCTACCCCAGGATTGACTTTGCATCCATCACCACTGAGGCAGACAAACAAGAGGGTAAACTGCCACCTCACTTGTCCGAGATTGTAACAATTCACAGAGCATTTGGCACATCGTGATACCCTTTGCCACGATAGATACAAATATCACATGGTGTCTGTTATACTGTCTTAGCTGCGAATAGCAGGAATATTGCTAATGCGGCTTAAAGCAACACTCACTCACTCACTCAGAACCTATGCTAAAATTATTCAATGACAGGACTACAACGGACTACAGAGTTAGGTCCCTTAGGCACCAGCCATTTATTATAGGGTGGGTGGGTCAGGGGGATTTGCTTTTTGCCTTTTCAGGAAGGGTCATTCAAGAAATGTACAAGAACATAGGGATGGTTATCCAAACATGTCCTATGACAAGCATTAGGGGAGGGTTGTTATTTTCAATACCTTAGTGCATCAAACATCTCTGACAACCCATACCACGACGGACATACAGCAACATCATCCTTTGAAAAATGAAATTCAATCGAGTGCAAGTTGTCACAAAGTTCCTTAAAAAATTACTGATGAAAGAAAGCATGCAGTATATTGGGTTATGTTTTGCAATACATGAATCAGTATTGCAATAAAATTGCAGTACAAAAGTCAGGCCAATACTCCTCACTAATTTTGATCATTGACCTGTCAGCACAATAGACAAGGGTTTCGCTAAAGTCATCAATGTCTGTAGCCTGATTTACCCTCAGCTTTTCTTCCACATCTGCTTTCATTCTCTATCTCAAACACTGCATATGGTACAAATGATTTTCTCTTCTTTGTCAAATAAACTGAATAAAAGATCATCTTTTCCCAACTGCATGGATTGATGCTCATGATGTCAATCACTGGATTGTCTGGTCCAGACTTGATTATTTACAGACCACCGTCATATAGCTGGAATATTGCTGAGTGCGGTGTTAAACAACAAATAAACAAACAAACAAATCATTATTATTTCTGTTACTGTTAAATGCAGTTTGTATTAGTCCGTGCTGACATGTGTTTTGTTGTTGTTCATTCTAGGTAAAGGAACAAAGAGTGATGGGAAAGGATCTGGATCCTCGAATGATAAAAGTAAACATGACAAATCCTCCAATAGGGGTGAAACGAAAGGCTCTTCAACCCCACATTCTAAAGACAGTAAAAGTGATAGTAAAGGCACATCAACTCCTCATGGGAAAGATAGCAAAGGTGAAAATAAATCAGGAAAAGATTCCAAAAATGACAGTAAAGGTTCCTCTACACCTCACGGTAAAGAAGGCAAGGGTGAAGGCAAAGGCTCCTCCACCCCCCACAGTGTGAAAGGAAGTAAATATGGGGTGTCGGGGTCGGGAGCCACATCTGCATCCAGCACCCCAGAATCGACACCCAAAAGGAAACGAACACGCCAAGCAAATTCCACGAATGCAAGTCCGGCCACTCCATCAGATTCACAGCCTACAAAGAGAGGCAGAAGGTGATCGTTTGGAGCTGATGTTGTAGACTATGTATGTGAACATGGTGAACAATCAAATAACACTCAGAGCACATCTGCAGCAATAGGACGAAAAAGATATTTGTTTCTGAACTGGGGTTGCAAGGGTAGAAAGGATCCCCTACATCTCATGTTCCTGGTTTAAGATCAAGGCCCTGTTCACAAAGCGATCGTAGCACTACGACTGTTGTAAGTCTATGTAAAAGTGTTGGCATTACGATAGTTGTTGTGTTAGTATCGATACGTGAAACAGGACCCAGGCCCCAAATCTTGCAGTCTTCAAGGATAAGGACCCTAAGCTCAGGCATATCAATCAATGTTAGGTTGTAAAATGAACTATGCATCATGACTTTTTGTTCAAGCCCAAACTATCGTATAAAACATTATGAGTTGTTTCATTATGTTTCTCTAAAGTTTTGTACCTGTTATTGGTGGCCTCGTGACCGCCTCCGTTGACTTGTGGATAGAGCATCTACTCGGAGAGCTAAAGGTTGGTGGTTCAATCCCCTGCCTGCGGCATACTAAAAGACGATAAAAGATGGTACTTGTTGTTACCTTGCCTGGCATTTGGCATTAGGGGATACAACAAGGAGTTGGCTCGGAGTCAGTATACTGTGTCTGAGTTGGGTTTCCATGTTAAATTGTGGCATGGAATCTCTGTGGGCTAGTACTAAAAACCCGACAGTACTACATACACCCCAACACACATATGTGCATGTACATTCGTATTTAAGTCCAATAATCTCAGGGTTTACTGTAAAACAGCAGCTGACAGCAAGTGACAGTAAAAATTTCCAATTTGAATTAAGAATTCTCCTACTCCTCCGAATTTTACAAAAACTAGAACATTAAAAATGTCTTATTTTGAATATTACAATATTTTCACAACTTGCCTGCCAAAGGCACTGAGTTTGGGATCCTAAATAAATCCCTGAATCTTGAACATGGTGTTTAACCCCATTTCACCTCACCTTTTGTTGGCCTAGTGGAGTAAGGTGCCAGCTGTAGCTGTGTCAGCATCCTCTGGGATTGAGTCACGGGATCGAGTCCAAAAGTAGTAAACACCTGCATCTTGCATCACTTTCCTGTCAGATTTGGCTGTTAAGCTGTTTTAACATTTGAGTATTGTATAAAACTGTTATATCCAAGTCACTCACTCATAGGTGTGTCCAGTCTAGGTCTACAGTATCTACTGAGTACTTATTGTGTACTCTTGACACAACCCTGTGGGGATTCTGGATTCAAATTTGCCCCAGCAACCTGTGCTGTTCATTAGAGGCAACTTAATGGATCCAGTGGTCAGGCTTGGAGACTTGTCAGATGGTTTGTCATGGTACCCTGAGTTCCTGAATCTGCTCACATTATCTCAATAATATAAGCTCACTGGTTTGTCTGGTCCAGACTAGATTACTTGCGGGCTGCCATCGTATAGCTTGAAAGGAAATCTGTCTACAATAAAAATCAAGTCTGCATTACAAGGGGATGATAGTTGGAGTCAATTTACATCATTTAGGTTGTTTGCAGAATTGTCATCTTGACCAAAAATCTCACTATGCATCAAAATTTAATGTGTGATTTGAAAAATATCTGAATGGCTAGTATGGAATAAAAAAACATTTTGTTATTTTCCAATCATCTTTTGCCTTTAGATTATGAGACCGCCTCCGTGGTCTAGAGCTAGAGTGTCTGCCCGCCCGGAGAGTGGAAGGTCCGGGGTTCGATCCCTGGCCGCGTCATACCAAAAGACGCTAAAAGATGCTACTTGTTGTTGCCCTGTCTGGCGCTCGGCGTTAAGGGGTTTAAACAAGGACTGGTCGGCTCGAAGTCAGTATACTGTGTCTGAGTGGGGGTATTCATGTTAAACTGCGGCATGGTATATCAGTGAGCTAGCACTATAAATCGGGATCAGTCCGGACTAGTGTAAGCAGCCACTTACACACATGCATGCACGTTGCTATATAAGTGCAACAATCTTGGACGTGACGTTAAACCCAATTTCACCTCACCTCACCTAAAACATAAGACTTTATGAGTAGGCCTGGTCGGATACAGTCTTGTTTCGTTCACACATTGCTAGTTTCGACCCTTTAGTCTTTTTGCACTGATATCCAAATTTGGAAAGGAGCTTTCAAATGGTCCATTTGGAAATATCTAAGTCATGCTCTGTAAGGAGAATTTGTTTTAGTTTTCGTGTTGAAATAAATTCATTTCTCGTGTTAACCGCCGAATCACGTCCCTGATAACTTTCTTATCAAAGGAATTTAACTTTAATTTTCTATCCTGTTTTGAGATGCCCCCTAAAAGATGTGCAGGGGAGCATGTGTTTTTATGAGAGTTCAAAATCTTAACTACGGTTTGTTTGGGAAGCTGTAACGCATGAATTGTTCTTTTCATGTTCTTTGAAATGTCAAAGAAGGGCGAACGTCTTTCACTTTCAGGCTTAAAGTATTCAAATATTTTAACAACGAAACCTTTCGCATCAGCTAACACCGTATTCGTGCGTGCGTGATTCCCGTGCAACCTTTCGAGTTGAGTTGATTGGTTCAACTGTGTCATATGGCCCTGTGACGCAGGGGTAGCATTATGCAGATGACTGTTACAATGAATGCTTGTTCCACCCGTGACGAACGGGTCTGGCTGTTGATGAAATATAGTGATAGCTAAATAGACAGATTTTTATATTCATGCATCGATTATCTTTAAATGTAATATCCAGTTATGTATGACCGTTTAATAATCTCATACCAACTATGACTGGAGTAGGTCCAATAGTTTATCAGATATTGTAGTAAACGTCGGTACCTTCAATTAACTTCCAGACTATAGTTAGGATCACCTTAGCGCTAAGATCGCTTTGTGGAAGGTGCTCAGGGTGCTGAAGCAAGTTACCGTCAAATTCAGAGTTGGGAATGTTCAGAGCTCCCCTTGGTCAGATATATTGAACCTCAGGATTATCTGTAACTTCTGTCCTATCTTTTTAATGAGTGAGTGAGTGAGTATGGTTTTACGCCGCTTTTTGCAATATTCCAGCAATATCACGGGGGGAGACACCAGAAATGGGCTTCACAAGTTGTACCCATGTCAGGAATCGAACCTGGGTCTTCGGCGTGACGAGCGAACGCTTTAACCACTAGGCTACCCGACCGCCCCTCTTTTTAATGGAACAGATTAGCTGCAAACATTGTTAAAGCCTTGAAGACATGATATGTATTCAAGAAGGATGACACAGCGAGTTGACTGGTTGGTAGCTGGTCTGTTTCATTAGATAGATAGTACACAAGATACAGATAATCATGAGGTTCAATATTTCTGACCATGGGCAGCTATTCCCAACTCTGAATTTGGCTGTAGGTGGCTTCAGCACCATGATCCCCGTTCCAGAAAGCGATCTGCTGTTTTCTGTTAGTGGGGTAGCTGCAGTTTGTGAGGTTAGTTATTTTAGCAGTGTAGTCTTAACACCCAAACACTGGTCTAAAAAACTGTTAAAAAGGGACTAAAAATTGGCTGGGTGTTTCAAAACGTTTCGAGAAAATCGAAATCATACTGACAGGTCTGTACTTTTGCTAATTCAAGTGGTCCTTCTTCTTAAAATACTGATATGATCTGAGCTTGTTTAAGTTTATATAGAAAAGAGACACAATTGATTGACTCGTCAATTTAGTTTCTTAAGTGGAGGCTTATAGCAGAGTGAAATATGTTTTAGCAACCTTGAAGGGACATTATCAACTCCAGTAGATTATTTAGTATTGGAGGTAGCTTTCGCCTTTTCACCGAAATGTGATGTGATAGGACTGAAATTGAAAGATAAATAAGGGGCTTAAATTGTGGTGGAAATGGAGGTCAAGGAGCAAAGAAGCATTGTCCTTGTCTTTCAAAAAGGACCCATGGCTCCATCGTATCACTTCATCACTCCTTTGCAACGCATGGTGATTCCATGCAATCGCTCGCATCGCATCGCATCGCATCGCATCGCATCATTATTCCATCGCTCGCATCGCATCGCATCATTATTCCATCGCTCACATCGCATCGCATCATTATTCCATCGCTCACATCGCATCACATCATTATTCAATCGCTTGCATCGCATCGCATCATTATTCAATCGCTCGCATCGCATCATTATTCCATCGCTCGTATCGCATCGCATCATTATTCCATCGCTCGCATTGCATCATTATTCCATCGCATCGCATCGCATCATTATTCCATCGCATCGCATCGCATCTCTTCATTATTCCATCGCATCGCATCACATCGCATCTCTTCATTATTCCATTGCATCGCATCGCATCACTATTCCATCACATCGCTTCATTTTTCCATTGCATAGCGTCGCATCTCTTCATTATTCCATCGCATCACATCGCATCTCTTCATTATTCCATCGCATCGCATCGCATCGCATCGCATCGCATCTCTTCATTATTCCATCGCATCGCAACTTCATTATTCCATCGCATCGCATCGCATCTCTTCATTATTCCATTGCATCGCATCGCATCGCATCGCATCGCATCGCATCGCATCTCTTCTTTATCCCATCGCATCACATCGCATCTCTTCTTTATCCCATCGCATCACATCGCATCTCTTCATTATTCCATCGCATCGCATTGCATCGCATCGCATCTCTTCCTTTTTTTCATTGCATCGCATTGCATCCCATCTCTTCATTATTCCATTGCATCGCATCTCTTCATTTTTCCTTTGCATCGCATCGCATCGCATCTCTTCATTATTCCATTGCATCGCATCTCTTCATTATTCCATCGCATCGCATCGCATCGCTATTCCATCGCATCGCATCTCTTCATTATTCCATCGCATCGCATCGCATCTCTTCATTATCGCATCGCATCGCATCGCATCTCTTCACTATTCCATCGCATCGCTTCGCATCGCATCATTATTCCATCGCATCGCATCTCATCTCTTCATTATTCCATCGCATCGCACAGCATCGCATCGCATCGCATCGCATCTCTTCATTATTCCATCCCATCGCATCTCTTCATTATTCCATCGCATCGCATCTCTTCATTATTCCATCGCATCGCATCTCTTCATTATTCCATCGCATCGCATCTCTTCATTATTCCATCGCATCGCATCGCATCGCATCGCATCGCATCGCTATTCCATCGCATCGCATCTCTTCATTATTCCATCGCATCGCATCTCTTCATTATCGCATCGCATCGCATCGCATCGCATCGCATCGCATCGCATCTCTTCACTATTCCATCGCATCGCTTCGCATCGCATCATTATTCCATCGCATCGCATCTCATCTCTTCATTATTCCATCGCATCGCACAGCATCGCATCGCATCGCATCGCATCGCATCGCATCGCATCTCTTCATTATTCCATCGCATCGCATCGCATCGCATCTCTTCATTATTCCATCGCATCGCATCTCTTCATTATTCCATCGCATCGCATCGCATCGCATCGCATCTCTTCATTATTCCATCACATCGCATCGCATCGCATCGCATCGCATCGCATCGCATCGCATCTCTTTTTTTATTCCACTGCATTGCTTCCACGCTTCATGGGATGATCTACTCGCTCAATCGCATCGCTCCATTTGTTCGTCGAAGCTACAGCTCCGTTGTGACCACATATATCATTGCCGATGCTGTATTACAACCCTTAATATAAAAATGACTCTTAGAGAAAACATTTTTACATTAAGGGTTACGTGTTAGCTCTTAATGTAACCTTTTTTTACACTAAGAGTAACAACTCGCAAACCTAAAAGTTATCATTTTTACATTAAGGGTTAATATCGCACCCATAGCCCCTTGCATATTTCACACACATTGGAGCAGGACAAGGTCCCAGCAAGACTAACACTTAGTCAATGAAAATATTATTATTTTTCTTTGAAAGAACCTTTCTTCTTCTGCTGTTTTTTAGACTAATCAACTTCACTACCCTATCATCAACAGAATCTCTGTAGTAGCATTTTAGACATGTAAATGTCAACATAAATAAGTGTCATAAATTTCAATACCTCTCATACTGTCATAGATGAGATATGTACTGAAGATAAGGTCTGATATAAATTTGAAAGTCGACAATTATCCTTAATGTACAAGCATGCTATGATTTAGATTGATATAGAACCATTTGTTAGGTTCTCGGGTAACAGTAACATCACCAAATGGGCAAACTATTACAGTTTCAGAGAATCTCTATCCCTTATTGACGGCCCTGAGATCATCTGATTTCCGGTATATTGCTAAGGTAGCACTGGATATAGAACATAAAAGAAATCACATCTTTGATTCTGTTACACACGCGCTCAATGCTGAAGTTACCCTTTACGGAATAGTGACAAAGCGTCCGTCCTTGATTTTAACTGGGACACAATTGTAAAGGAATGGAAAGACAAAGCACCACTGTATTGGTCCTTCTTGGAGGTATTTGTTTCCAATCCAACCCTTACAAAGAACAGACTGAAGGATGCACCATCCTTACTTGTGACTGTTGGTGCTAAGCTTTTATCTGTGTAATCAGCAGCTCAATCTGACTCAGCATCCTGACAGTGTAGTTCTGTTACACGGGGGAGCCAAAAAAATCCCTGTTTAACAGGTTCAGTGCTACACACGACTCCCTGA